ACACCCACGCCCAATGAAAAGTCGCAAAGAGGGTCCAATTTTTGTTGAGTAATGAAAACCCTAGCTTCGTCATGAAAGTATGAGCAATTTCGCGGAGGTATAGATTAAAATTGTTCCTTGGGTCTGGGGTTCATATAGCAGTGCTCTATATCTGATAAGGTTCTTCCAGAGCCCACAAGTTTAATATAAAACAATTAATGGAGTCATTTTTGCTAGCATGCTACCACCTCAATTTAGGGCCTGGGCCTTCATTCCCTGTGAGGTTGGTGGCACGAGTTACCTTATTTCTATGTCACATTAGGGGCAAGTTACCTTCTTTCTATGTTACACAATGAAACCCCTCCCCCCAATGTACTGTAACTTGTTTGATCATACTATAGAATTATACAGTTGGGCCATACTATAGAATTATACAGTTGTATTATTATCTGCAATAATTATAAGGTGCACATGAAAGTTTTCTAAAAATATATTTTTTTCTCAAGCGTTGATTAGGAAATGATTATTTCACATTGTCCTCTAAATGTAATATAGAATAAATATTATGATCAGTTATGTGGTTTGTTACAGCGCGACAAGCAATTGAACAATGCTCCAATCCCATGTTGAAACTGCGTCCTCTGTATGAAGGAACACAAAATTCCAAACTCAAAGCGAGAAGAAATGTGGGTAAGAACCTTACTGGATGTCGATCAGTCGACATCTTTCAAATCCTTTCCTTTGCTTGTTATTGTTGCATGTCATTGTAATGCCCTCTTGAGGAACTCAACTGGCTTTTCTGGGTAGCTCTATAAGCTTTAAACTGTTCTCTCAAGATGAACCAAAAAAGACCACAATTTTTGGTCAGTTATTACAGGAGGAATTTCAAGTACCCGAGAAAACGTGCGGTGTTTGGTAAAAGGGTTTTGTAGATGGAAATTTCGTGAATTTTATACATTAGATCCCAAAATCCTGGTGCTTGATAAAGAGCCAAACATAGAACTGTCCATTCTCACATGTGACTGAGGTGAAATTAAAATTAGGAAACTACAGAGATGAAAGTCCTATACATGTATTAACAACTATTGTACCACTAACGCCCCTTCGTTCATACTAGATTTTCTCCAGCCATACAAAGAAAGACCAAAGACTACAAAACTGGTCGCAAACCGCTTGGTCGCTGGAGCACTGGGTATGAGATCAAAAATGTCCAAGGAAGAGAGGCAACTTGAACGAGAGAAAATTAAAGCTGAGCGAGGCAAGTAGATAAAATATAATTTATTTTACTTTTGGATTAACTATTCCAAGAAAACCCACACAAAATACAGGAACGTATATGGCTGTATTTGAACCATTCCAGTTATAACTGGCTGTATAATTACACGTTTAACTGGAATGGTTCAAATTGATTAGGGATCAATTTCGAATCCAAATGCTATTCTAATTAACTTGTTGGCAGTTGTTGTTTAACATGTTTCTTGGAAAATGTCCAAGCGTTATTAGAAACGCGGAATTCGACCAATGTGCCACACAGTTTATATTCATACCCTATAACTAATAAAGTAATACATTTCATATTTCGCTTATTGTAAACTTATTTTAATTTCCTTACAGAAAGAAAGGTGAATAAAGAGAAACAGAAAAAAGACTTATGGGAAAGTGATGATCTATAGACGCAACTGGACATTCACGCTTCATTCATTCGTATTAATATAACATTTCAAATTAATTAAAAATTCTCAATTTTTAATCTAATTCTTTTTACCTGTACATAATATTTTTTAATTATTTTATTTGAATGACCATAATGACTAATGTTTAAAATGTTTTCCTAGTTTGTAGCTGGCTACAGAAATGGAAATAAAATTGTACTTGCATGAAATTGGTGTTAAATAGAAATATTTTTAACTTTAAATTCACATATTTGTATATGTTTATATCTGTGTTCTATACGATTGCATAGGTTTGTTGTCAGAGGATTATGCAAAAACTGCGAACTAACCTTATCTGATAATATTTGAAAGTTGGCTAATTTTAAGTTGTTTTGCATGCAGGGACGTATGCAGCAATGATTCAACATTTTGATATGGGATTTTCTATAGAAACGAAGCTGTAAATGATTGCTATCATATCGTTCATGCACACACACACACACATGCAGTAATCTAGCCTGATCAGGAAAATATTCAGTTTGTTTGCTTTCTGCTATATCACTCATTCTCAAAAACATGCTCTTTAGTTTAGATCCCCTTATCTGAAGCTTATAATAAAAAATTGCTGTCCATCAGGATCCTTGTTTTTCGCAGATATGCGCCTTGTTTTAAAAGACCTTAAAACAAGGAACGCATGGAGAGAATCACGAAACAGTCCTGAAAACGTAGATTCCGGGAATTCTGTTGAGAAAAGATAGCGAAGGCGAAGACATTGTGTGCCAAGTCGATCTCTAAATTTATCTTCAGATAATTCCTTATTCTTCTGTAAATTCCTTACTTGAAAATTCCTTCGTTTTGTTATTTATGAACAAAGACAAATGACTTTTGCATTGGCTTAAGAAGTTCAATAAGTCCAATAGCCCACACGTAGGGTTCTAGAAAATACAGGAAACATCTTAACGTTTGTTACGTTTCGAAATTAGAAGGACCTATTTGATCGAAACGTCGAAGACTTTTGTTTTTCGAGTAGTAATTTATCCTTCCATCAACATCTTGAGGATCTTTCAATTAACAGCTCGTTTATTCTCGACACTGAGTATGCCAGCATTGTATTAGTCGGTTAATTCTTCAGAAGTGTAAAAAGGCCTGTTATAAAATGTTTTTTACCCATGTAATATTGGCATTGTTCTTACTGTAGGTTCCAGATTGGGCAAGACCTGTCACGCTGTTATATTTTTAACAATATTTCTTTCAAGTAAAATGGCTGGGACTAAGTTATATTTAAAGATTTCATTTACTGCTTAGATATTTCTGAAATTGCATTTTCCTGGTTGCGCATTTGGAATAATTGCATGCTTGTGATATTATGGACGTGATATTTGATATGAGTACAGTACAACCTATGAGAAGGTATGACAATATAAAGGAACAGTGAAATTTTACCCCTTTAATTTGAAGACTTTGAAGACTTCAATCTATTACAAAGATTTCACATACTTGCTATTATAATAAGCTATTCAAGAAATTGTAATACTTTAGTCTGGTTGCATACTTGTGAGAGTGATATCTGATACGCAAGGTATATTGAAAAGTATGTACAAATATGACAATAGTCTCTGAAGGCATCTAAAGTCTCATAGTATGTGACATGTAGTCGGATTGGGCCAGTTCAAGGTTAAACTTTAAAAGTTATGGCAAATTAGTAAATATCTGATATTTTATCATGTTGATTCAGTCTGTTTGGACCGGAGAGTTTTAAAATGCAGGCTAGCGTTCTTTCTAGGATTCAATCAAAAATCCAGATGGCATCCAGTGCATACTGATGATTGAAGCTGATAATATGAAAATAATTTTAAACATGATTCTGCATGTTAAAAATAACATATACTGGAGGGATGGATCCCCTGATCTCGTGCAAGTTTACACTTTTCCATTTCAGCATCTCACATAGTGGGGTATCTTTTCATTGAGAAATGATAGCTCCTCCACTGAAGAATTCTTAACTGAAAAGGCCGTGTTGTTTTATTATAAAAGTATTGAGACACGTGCATAAGGCCACGCATGGCATCTGGATGACTTCAACGAACGGCTGTTCAGTAGAAGGATGGACTTCAGTTTGTTTCATGGTTTCTTATTCTCTACTGCCAGTGCCATAGGAAGCAGACGTTATCGTAACTGTCTCTCGTCTCTTCCAGTTAAAAATCAAGCATCAGGATATTATTGCTCTCTACACACGCAATATATGGCAGATTTATTTCCTCACTGCACAATTACCCCCATAATTTCTCTTCGGACTGTCAAAAATTTGTCGAAAAGATAGCCTTTTGGCGCAAAAATGAAGTAAATTCAAATATTTAATCTAAATCCCATTGATTAATCCGCGGTGTTTTTGATCTCTTAATCCTATTGCAAACTTTGGATTCCATACGACCCGCGCGCACCAAATCATTACTGGAATAGTACAAGACATGTTTATCTAAGAAATGTCCGGCCATTAAATTAGTTATATTACAGTTGAATCAAAGATTTCAAAAGCACGCGTGTTTTCCCGTTACGTGCTGCGAAAGTCCGGACTCTCGCTCAAGACTTTCTATATTTTTCAGGGCCCGTCAATTTTACGAAGGCCGGATAGCGCTTTTCATGCACAGAAAGTTGATTTTTTCAATTTTAACCTTTCTAAAAATGCCTGAAAGGCTGTGAAACCATGGATACGGACCACCTCACAATTACGAACAAGGGACATTAATTTAAAAATACTTAGCTTGATGGGGGTAGTTACTACCAATCAACGGCTAATTTTAGGAAGTTTGAAATTGGCGGATATAGCAACATTCGACATACGTACAAACGGCCCCAGGTACGTAGTCGTAGTTGAATCCTTCAACAAA